CTATTTGTATGTCAGTGTAGATTTTATAGATTGCCTACATACATATGATAAATAGTAAAAGTGGACAAAACTATAGAAATGTAAAATGCTAAATATCTAATGTAATTCTATAAAGTACTAATATCTAGTCATTCTTTTAACAGCATGACATAGATAAATAAATCCTTAGAAGAAATACAGAATCTCGAAATCAATTCAGGATTATAATAGCAGATTTTATACTCAACAAAGGTTGTCATTCATTGTACAGAGAAAGGATGGATGATTAATAAATAGCCCTGGCACAGTCAGCTATTTATTCATGTTTTGCATTATATACAAAAAAAAAAAGCAGTTTCAGATGTATTAAACTCTTATTTGTAAAAAGTAAAACTAACATTTTTTGCAGAAATCTAGGAGATTATATGCACATCTAGGGGCAAGTGTGACCTTCTTAACTAAGACTGAAAACCCAGAAACTGTAAGAGATAAGGCATATAAATCTGTAGCAAAAGATAACACAGACAAAATCAAAAGACATATAATAGGCTTTGAAAAAAATACATGCAATGGAAAATACAGACAGAAGATTTTTTCTACAATACACATAGGACACTGAAAATTTGTCAAGATGAGAATAGAAGCTCAACAGAAAAAAAGGCTAAAGACGCAATTCACAGAGACTTATCTTCAAATTATCAAGAATATGAAAATGATGCTCAAACTGACTGCTAGTCACATAAATGCTCTTTAAAGTAACAAAGAGATACCGCATTACACGGCTGAGGCTGGCAACAGTTTAAAATGGTGACAATTTGACTGGAAAGTATAAAATCTGAAGTATTAAAGACATTTGGGAATGCAATGTCCATTAAAATTAAAATGCATCTATTCTGTGACACAGAAAACCTTCTTCTTGTTAGCCCAAGCATAATAAAGCACAAGTAAGTAGGAAAAAAAGTACAGGATATGCATCTATCACAGTCTAATTCACTGTAGCCAAATAATGAATATGAAGCAAAAGGACCTTTGATAGAGAAATGGTTAAAAATATGGTAAACTTGTATCACAAACTATTCTTCAGCCATTAAAAAATGAATTAAAACTGTATCAGTGAACAATTGATTTAGTGTGATTTTTATGATTTATTGTTTAGCGAGAACAGAAAGATATAGAATAGTGAGTATTAGACAATCTCTTTTGAATACAATAACAATGTAACAAACAAGGAAAGTTAGAAAAATGGAAACAAGGAGACCTACCTTAAGGTAAAAAAAAAAGTTTTTAAATACAATAAAAATGCATGTATGCTTCATTCACAGGTATCCATCTATGTAATATATAAAATCTGCATTAAAGTCAAAATGCATTGAAATTGTTGGGGATTACTCTAATTTGAAATTTAGGTTTTTAAAGACTTTAAACAGAGGCTGTTTTTTAACATTTCAAAAATGTATATATAATGCATATTTTCTATAAAAAATAAAAATAAAAATTGCAGGTAAGAAAAAAAAATACCCCAGTCTTCCTGTCTGAGATTCTGTCAACTGGCTGTTTTCTTCCCATCCCTAGAGATCTGTTCACTGGCTTTTGTCTCCTTTCCTCAACACAGTTTAGTCACCACCTCCGAGGAACTGTGTCCCGTGTTGGCATTCCTTGGGCAGCTTCCACGTCTCTGTCCCCTTGAGCAAAGTATGTACCAGACATAGCCCAGCCTTAAACTAGAACACTTGAAAAAAACAGCACCTGACCCTGGGGAATTCCAGAAATTCAAAAATTCAAAAACCTGGCCTTTAACAGCATATCCTCAGTGAGTGCTCTACTCGATATTGCAAAAGACATGAAATCATACACGACGTATATCTTTCCCAAAAGAAGCTTAAGATTTTATGGAGAAGCTAAACCTTATGCGTGTTAAAATGAAATAGTTATATTTCTGTCCTTGAATCCATATAATAATTCTTGAATTAATTGTAGGTTGAAGAGTTCAGGAGAAAGTTTATTCAAAAGAGTTCATAAAGCCAGGTAGAGGGAAATCAGAAAATCTGAAAAGGAAGTGCACTGAGGATTGAGTGTCTCTCGTGTTTGTATCTTTTCTAGTGTTCAGGCCTGTCTCAGGCCTATATAATTCAATAGGAAAGAAGGGCCAAGTCTGAGCTAGTAAAGTAATAAAAACTGATGTTTCTATTTAAAAGCCACAAAATGATACACAACTTAGGTTTCATGGCTAGAGGCATAGTTTACCTTTAGCTAATTAAAAGGAGACTCCAGCTTATAGAGGAAGCCAATATACTGTCTCCAAATAGCTGGTTCTTGGTCTGGATATGTTTCTAAAATAATCAACGCATTTAGGTCTTTTTCACAAAAAATATTTTCCCCACTACTTTAGGCAGGAGATAGGCACGGGGTCGGGGAAGGAGGACGAAACAGAAACTAGTTCCTTCCAGATGCCCAGGTCAATCCATGGATGATAGAGAGGCCTAATGAGGGCAGGGGCATTTGGAGGCCCATCTGGGAAGTATAAGCCACGCTTGCAAAGAGACATTCTTTGATGTGCAACTGACAGGGTAAAAAAGCTTAAGGGAACAACAGTAAGTGCACAGACACTTGCAGTGCTCAGACAAACCTTGCAGTGCTCTGGGCTTCTGTCCTGGCCCCTGAGTAACATTAGTTAATTGTCACTGTCTATGACACTATAGTAACTTTGGAGTGGAGGGGATTGCTTCTAAAAGCATAGTCTACTGCTAAATTGTTTTTTAAATCAAAGAGATATAAATAAGCTTGTTTGTTGTTTTGTTGTTTGCTTGCTTGTTTATTCTTTGTCTTTCTACTGTCACTCTTTCAAGGTTTTTCTCAGGATAAGCCGAGCTCCAGACTATTCATCTGTCCTGAGGCAGCCACTTGAAACAGAATCATTTTGTATTTCTACCCTTCTATGCTTTGACCTGTCTTTTATCCAAGTCAACCCCGTAGAATGGGCCAGGAGGTTGCTGCCACTGAATAAGACACTATGATTTTTAGTGTCAAGAATTTTGTTATTAACTATGGCAGAAAAATAGAGGGTAATAAAAGTAACTAACATAGATAAATTGCAAAGTATCTTAATATATTCTTACAGTCATCATTCTTTTATTACAGTTACTGACTTCCTCATGTAGTGATAATTGAAAATCCCTTTGAACTTGGAGTCTTTGCTTAGTTCCTGAATCCGAAGAACAACAAACTCCTCTCATCTTCCTAATCCTCATCCCACCCCAACCACTAGGCTAAATGGATGTGTAGTTCCTTTCCTTCATATAGACTATTTTTCCTTGTAACTAGCTTCAAGTTCAATCTCAGCACAACAGATAGAGAAAGCATCATTTCCTTTTCCTTCCAGGTTACCCCTCCACCACCCACAGTCAATTTGCCATAAATAAGATATTGGCATTTCAGGTAGTCAATGTTTCACCTGCCACCATACTTCTAAATAGAGTTTTGTGTTTGTAGATGATAATAGTTTTAATCAGTAAAGAAAAGTTAAATGCTATATGGGGTATAACCAATAAAGAAAGGTTAAATACTATATAGGGTAAAGTGATACAATATTATAGAATTGAAAACCTTGGAAGACCAGATTAATGGACATGAAACAATTAAAAACAATAAACTTATTCATTCCTTCATTTATTCCTCTAATTTGAGACTATAAATTGTACGGTATATAATTGAGGTTCTGAAAATATCTAAGAAAATGTACTATAGGTTTTAAAAAGAAACCAATATGAGTAACAGCTCAGATAGTAAGAGACATAAGGCTTTTCATAGGAGGTGACAGGTTAGTATGAAATCAGGAGATATTTTGTTAATGATACATACCAAGCTGTCAACTAAAATACGGAGAAGTCAGAAAAGAATTAATCCTAAAAAATTTGGAGATTAGCATCTCAGATTTCTGTTTGAAGTAACCTCATTGTAATTTACTAAGGGGCTCTGCTGAATCCATAGCTTTATCGTAGGATTCTTACTTCTGTACACAGACATAATAACTTATTTTGACTACATTGGACTTTATAGCCTGCATTTCTATGGCATAATAAAATAAGGCCCATAACAAAATGGAGGCATTTCCTCAATAATAGCCCCAGAATTAGGGTGAATGGGTTCCTTAACTTGAAGGTCATTTGATGGAGTATTAGTTATTTTTCTACATAAGAAAGATGCACTATGACAGGGTAGGCTCTGTTGTCTTAGTGAAGGCTGAGTAGGATTATTTGAATATAATTTTTTTTTTTGAGACGGAGTCTTGCTCTGTCACCCAGGCTGGAGTGCAGTGGTGTGATCTCGGCTTACTGAAACCTCTGCATCCCGGGTTAAAGCAATTCTCCTGCCTCAGCCTCATGAGTAGCTGGGACTATAGGTGCATGCCAGCATGCCCAGCTCATTTTTGTGTTTTTTTTTTTTTTAATTAGAGACAGGGTTGATTGGCCAGACTGATCTCAAACTCCTGACCTCATGATCCACCCACCTTGGACTTCCAAAGTGCTGGGATTACAGGTGTGAGCCACTGCGCCCAGTGGAACCTAATGTTCTTAATAATATTCAGTAGAGATAGAAAGTAATGAGTTGAAGAATTACTTAAAACCTGCCTATGGTGGTTTTAGATATGTCCACACATTCTTTGACTCTCTTTCCATTGAGAGGTGGGACCTACATGCACCCCACTCATACATGTGACAGGACGTGTCTCTGTTTAAACTCAAAAACTATGGCAGAAATTATGCCATGTAATTTTCACAGCTAGATTTATAAAAAGGACACACAGCTTCCATCTGTTTTACTTGGAACATTCCCTGTTGGAACTCTGAACTGTTGTGTAAGAAATGCCACTACCCCAAAGCTGCTATGCCGTGAGCAATGGAAACCCAGGCCACGTGAAGATGCCACGTGTAGGTACATTAAACAACAGCCCCCACTAGGACTTCAACCCATAGTTGATTTCAACCACTGTGAAATTGTCTCCAGGCAATTCCAGCTCCTACCTGTTGAGTCATCTCCAGCCATGGAGTCCTCCTCGTTGATGCTCCAGACGACACAGACCATAGAGGAGGCATTCTTGCTGTCCCAAAGATGATCAAATTCCTGACCCAAGGATGCTCTAAACAAACAAACAAAAAATGTTTGTCCTGAACCCTAAAATTTTCGAGTAGTCTGTTAAGCAGAAGTAATAACCAGAGCAATCCCTCTCTTCCTATCACCCTTTTTTCCCCATTGATGGCCAGTGAAAATAAAGACTTTGGTGGAAACATGACTTTTGGGAAATTATTTTGAGTGGAGGTGGTTAGAAGTAATGATCTGAGAAAGAAAATGAAGAGAAAGGTGGAAATCCCTATTTTTCTCCTTTAGCACTCTCTACTCTTGCCTTTTAGACTTCTCTTCACATTACTATCAGAGCAACTACTTTTCTCTGTATTCTCTCTTTCCTTCTGCCTCTTGTCTGTCTCTCTGCTTGTCTCTTTCTTTCCCTGTCTGCTTCTGTCTTTCATATGCATCATGCACTTTGTACCCCTAGTCACACCATTGCTGTGGTTTACTTTACATTTTCATTTTGTTAATGCTATTTCAGTGAGTCTCTATGTTATAAAGTAACAAGTAACAGAGGGTTTTTTTCTACTCAGTGAAAATCAAAAGCAAAGGAGATGCATCTACTTGACAGACCTGGAGCAGTTAATATCTATCTACTCATAAGGTGTCCACTGCTACAGAAGAAAAAGGAAAAAAAGTTCATGTTTTCTGTCTAATTGTAGTATCTGGGATTGAATAGCAGTAAAGAGGGATTACTAAAAGCAAGGAATAATTTTTATAATAAGAAATAACCTTGTGAGCAGTAAAGAGCCCTTTTTATTACAAAAAAAGGAAATCTAAAGTTTGTGTTTTCATTTTGAAAAAGGAAATGGCAATCAGGTGGCACAAGTCAATGCTAGGAGCATGCAGTGGCACTGACCCAGAGGCAGGGACACCTTATCCATTAGGTACAGTGGACAGATTGTCCAGGATTCACAATACTTTTAGGACCCCATCAAATGTTTTACATTTCTTCAAAATCAGAAGGAAAAAAGTGAACTTTTATAATAGATGAAAGAAAATATTAAAATATATTTTAATTACTATCTTTATCTGTATACCAACTCTATCAAAAATAAAATCTTATTTTTTAATGTGGTAAGCGGTTCATGATACTTAGGGCCTGTAAAAGTCATAATGCAGCCTGCTGAGAGAGTCATGTGGGAAAGGGCCTGTAGGAAATAGGACTGCCCACGCTTTGCTATTATAATGGTAGCTTCAGTGCCCACCTGAAGCAGCAGGTTTTGAATGTCTACACCTTAGGCCCTTTGGATGGAGTTTCTGCACAGCACTGGTGATCCTTTCTGAATCTACTTGGTACAATTTCATAGCTTACATGCTTTATTACTGTACGCCTTCATATCTATCTGAGCTAGAATACAGTCAGGAGTTTGGAAGGAGGGAACATACAAATATATGATGGTTCCTGAGTTTCAGTTATTCCTTGGCAACAGTGTGTGCCTGATCATTTACTGGGCTCATGGGGGAATAAGAAGCTCCCACTACCTGTGGAAAGAATACTCTTCGGTGATCTTTGTTGAAGACAGTAGCTCTTAACTCGTTCTTTCCATGTCTTCTCAAAGCAGGGACCTCATTTGGTCACATTTTAAAATAGGATATTCAAGGAGCAGTTTTAATACTTTATCAGTTCTGCTCAGGGGCTCATTACCAAGAGGAAACCAGTGAAAATTGCACAATGAAAAATAAACTTTTAAAATCAGTATAATTTGAAGATGATAAATATGAATATTGGTCATGACTGTTGAAATATAAACTCAAACAGGGCAAACATAGCAGTTTATCACATTATGCATTGTTGCTAAAAAAGAAAAAAAGCAACAACAACAACAAACAACCTTTCAAAAAAATCACTTAAGGGGTCTGTCCTCCCAAAGCTAGTAGAGTAATAAGCTCTCAGTGATAATACAGAGTGGGGAATAGAGAAGGAAGGCTGTTCAGAAGGTCCATCTTGTTCACCTGTATTTTCTCCAGGAGTCAGCAAAGTGCCTGGTACATACTAGGTACTCCATAAATATTTGTTGAATAAAGAATGAAGGAAGGCATAAATATAGGGCTCATTCTAGTATACTCATGTCTAATTCTGCCCTTCTCCTGGTTCTGCCCAGCAGCACACTAGCTTCCTGAAGACGAGCACCTTAGAAGATCCCTGAGTCTCTTTCACTCATTCCTGCTTCCTCCCTGTAATGTTACCGCCTTGTTACTGACTCTCCCTTTTCTTTTTCTTCAGATCACCACTTACCTCCTGCTCTGATGCTTCCAATGTCTTATTCTGATTGCTCAGTTTCCTGGTTTCAGTTCTCCCATCCTGACTTGATATGTCTACATTTTGAATACTTTCTGATGGGGAAGGAGGGGAGTTAGAATCAAGTGCACTTTTTATAAATTAGTCCTTTACAAGGAACACTACATAACCACATTTGTAATGTTATAAGGTAAATAGTGTCAAACAAAGCAGACGCACAATTCTGATACATATCTTAGTAATATTTTAAGTGTTTGCTTAAATATTTCTGTTTCCTATGTCATTCTAAAATCCATTCCTAATCTTCCAAAGTGCACACATGCACATGCATGCACACACACACATACACACACACACATACACAATCAAGTAAATGAATCTGGGAAGTAAAAGATCTAATGAAATCCCAGTTATTTTTACTTACCTGTATACATTCTGGTTACATGTATTTTTCTCTACTCTTGAAAAGTACAATAAAATGCCAAAGTGAAATCAATGGGGTTGATTCCTGGGACAGTTCTTGATTTGGTAAGATTCTTGTCTTTTTTAGCTGATCACAAAGAAAAAGAGCGAATACTGTTGGGTCTTGATAACATTGAATCAGACTGCCAGCTTAACATTTGAAAAAACCAAAATGACCTTAACAAAACAAAACAAACAAACAAACAAAAAACAGTACTAATGCCCAACTCCTCTGGACCAATCAAAACAAAGTCATTTAGGGCAGGGTCAAGCAGTGGATTTGTAATCACATCCATGATGACTCTAATCATGTGTAACTAGAATTAAGATCTATTTATTTAGAATATGCAGTTGCTCTATTATTTTCTTCTCTTTACTCAGGGAAAGGTGGATTTAGGTTATTTTTATATGACATTGAAAGAATAAAACAAATGTATGCAAAGCAAGAAAATACTTCAGTAAGATCAAGTGAATGAGGCAAAAGATTTTTGTTTTAAAACTCTACAGACTGTCATCAAAAATCAACAGGTCGAGGTTAGAACACACTTTCAGATCCATAAAATTTGCAGCAAACTGCCACAGCTGGAAAATAAACAGAGGGTTTCTTTTGGCAACAGCCTATTCCAAACTCTCGACTGCATTCTACACGTGCTGTTTTCTGAAGATAATGCTGTTTTTATTATTTGTTGGTTAATGTTAATTACTTTTGTACTTGAGAATTACTCACAATACATTTTGGGAGCCAATGAATACATTACTGTCTTAGAGTATCAACATTTCCAACTTCTCCTTCATTATTACAAAGCTGAAAAGAGCTATAAAACAGACACTGCTAAATGACTTATTTTTTATTCATCGAAATGTGCTTTTTGATGAACATGAAAAAAATTAATCAAAAAATTTAGTGAAGTCATGGGGGATTCCAAACCCTATATATAGAATTCCAAGTCCTTATAAATAGGCCAGTGACATTTTCTGAGTATCCACAGATGCTTAGCACTATAATAGGAACTTAAAGTATATAGTTGAGATTAGACCTGACTCATGCACTGAGAATTTTATAATCTTTAAAAGAGATGAGATAGGTCAGTATTCAATTAATATGAATACATACAAAGAATTATTCTGACAGACAGTGATAAGGAGAGGATTGCACAGATCAAAGAATGAGCCATAGTTAATTGAGGGAAATTTCCCTTGAGAAGCTTTCTGAAATGGACTCTGAACTTCAGTTTAGAAAGAGGGCTATGGTTTGGAGAACAGGAATGTTGAGACTGTTCTTGCATTTGTGATGAATTAAATGAAAACTTTAAGAAGTGAATAAAATGGAGTGAAATGGCAAAAAAAAAAAAAAAAAAAGAGAGAAAAGTTCCTAGCTGTTTCAGATGACTGTGAAAAGGAACCCGATTACATCTTGCTCAGCACGTTTTCTTTAAAATAAAAAATTTGCTGACAGTGTTCTGAATTAAATACTTACATGAACGTGAATGGATGGGAAAACATGTCTCTCCAAAGATAAAAATGACTTTTTCCCCTATTTAAAAGATAGGTAAGCCTTTAAATATGAAATATTCTTATTATGTCTCTCTTATTATAAATATTGTTATTCCTTGTTGGATCATTCTAAAACTGGCTCCCCGTGGTAGATACTGATCCATGCCAAAATTCCATGTGCTTCTCTTTCAGTCCCCTCAAAGATAAGTAGAACCATTTGACCAATTTTTGGTAAGCAGACCATGAGTTGAGTTGATATATATACATTTCTAGCCAAAGTATATGAGAGTCGATGTGCTCCTGCAAGCTCATTCTTCCCTAGCTCATCACCTGGAAGCAGTTACAGGCAAAAGATGCAAACAGAATAAATCTCTGGGTCACATTTGGATAGGAGCTGCTCTGAAAAGTCATCCCATCCATAGTATAGCTTATTAGGTTATGCTACTGATATTTGAATTTGTTTGTTACCATAATTATCATAGTATAGCCTACACTAATCTCACTAATGCACTCTCTAAGCATTTTATATGAATAATTTCCTTTTCAGGGAGATCAGTTTTGGGAAAGTGGTAGCAACATGAGAGGTGGGAAGAGACCCATGTGCCAACACATATCCTTTCTTCCCTGAAATAAATGTCTACACCTTGTCAAACTGCCTTTCTTTTTACACAGTTAGCTAGAATGAGGCAAGATCTTTCTTCTGAGTTTCTGAAGGTTTTATTTATCCATAATAATGTGCTTTGGCAACAGAATCAGCTTGTCTCATTTGCTTATTAGCTGAGTTGCTCTAAGTCTTCCATTTATTTGTATTAATCTTCTAATAAAAAGACTAAGGCCATGCCTATTTTCTGAAATTCAGCTGTGAGTTATCTCTAGTCAGAGAACTCAACTATTTTGGGTCTTGTTCTATACCCCCTTACCTGTGTTAAAATGTTTGTGAGCAAAATGAGACTTTCACCAGGAGTGAGAGGGGGAATACACTCTTACAGGGGCTAAGAAGAGCCTAATGTAATTGAAACAAGCAACTTATTCTTAAGTGACATCAATTTTATTTACCCGCTCCCATTTCAATCTTTTCTTGTTTTTGCATCATAAGTCCACATTTAAAAAGTGAATCCAGTGTTGTCATTGTGATCGAAATGGCTCAGCTCCAGGTTCTAAGAGCTTCCTGTTCAGTACGTAGTAGCCAACAGCCTTCTTTGCATTAATGGCTTTTTTTTTTTTTTTTAATTTGGAAGAAAGTAAGGCCCTTCTTAACTTGCATCCCTTGTTTTAATGTTAATAACGTTAGATGCAAAATAGGGCCAGGCAAAATTTCACAATGGTTGTTCTCATAAAACAAACCAACTTTGGACTGCATTAAAAGAGTTTCTGCCCATTTAGTAAATGCGCCATGTTTGGTGACTATTTTTCTTTTTTTGCAATATTTCAACTTGTATCGTCAAAAGTGCTTTGGAAAAAAATATATTTCTCATAAGAGGCATTGTTTGAAAGATTATTTGTGTGTGTAACATGGCCCGTACTTGTCTGTGTGTGACATGTTTCTAAAAATATTGAATACATATCAAACTTTGTAAACCAAAACAAATGTAAGGTGGACTAATGAAAAATGATCAAATTATTCCAATTTTAATAGATTCTAACATAATCAAGGTTTTCTAAATTAGCCACATTTGTACTTTTGGACAGTTTTCAAATATTATATGTGTATTTGACATAGAATGAATTTTATCAGTATACTTTATGGTTTGGGCCATAACTGAGTATGTATTTATAAATTCCTACTATCTGGAATACAGTCAAAAACTAGAAAATAAGCAAAGTATAAAGTGATGTACACATGTTTTCACAGATTATCTGGTTTCTCAGATATAGCAGATGAAATGAATTAAAATAGGTGGGAAGACAAGGTTATAGGACTCTGAAACCAGCAAATATATGTTGCTGAAGTTAGAGCCATATAGACTCAAATTCAAATCTCAGCTTTATTACTTACTAAATGGCTGAATATAGTGAAGTCGCTTCATCTCCATGATATTCAGTTTTCTACTTTGTAAAGTGAAAATAATTACATTTATCTTGCACGATGTTATAGAAATTAAATCCAATAATATGCAAATCATGTCATATATAACATCGAACTCATATTGCATTCCAAAAATGCTAGGGTCAGTGTTATATATTTATTCTACACATGTTTAATAAGAACCTACTGTATACCAGAAACTGTGCTGATTCACAAATGAATGAGAGATAATTCTAGTGTAAATTCTAGTACAGGATCATTGTGAAGATAGATAAGTGTTCACTGATACCCACTTCTTCTCTACTTCTTGGAACACTGGATGATTGTACTGCCTGGCCCCCTTAAAGCATCACCTAGCCAATCTTGACTTCTGTGGGTATATAGTCCAATGACAATAGGAAAGAACAGTAGAAAAAGAAGAAAATTAAGCAAATTTAAAAACAAAAGAAGTCCAAATGATGGTGTCATTTAGTGAAGGGAAAAATATATTTGTGCCTCAGCAACCATGAAACTATGGTATATTTGGTGATCACCATAATGACCTTCTTGAGTCACCAAGCATGGTTAAGAACTACCATAAAGATATTAATTTTAAACTAACAGTTTAATAAATGAATAAATGAAATTAATGGTTAATAAAGTGTTAACCATCTTTAGTATTTGTTAGAATATAAAGGATTAATTTTCAGTTATATGTAATCATTTTCTTGATAACACGCATGTATTTATCTATTTACAACATTGTGGATCACTGTATTGTAGATAAGACTTATCTCAGCGATAGATAATACAGGAAAAAGAAAGGTAATAGAGATATTATTAAATATTTAAGTACTTTTAACAAATTTTCCCTTTGAGCATGACAGGTATCAAAAGAGATTTTACATCTTCCTAACATACCTACCCACCTCAATTCACATGCTATCCGGCAAGTTAACAAAAGATTAAAAAGACTTCCTGTTATTTTTCCCCTTATTCAGCAACCCAGATTCCTTTCAATCAATAAGGATAATGTCACTAAGCCTTGAAAAAGTGTAAACTTAGACTTATCTATCTAGCAGAGGAGGCACTGTGCATCTCCAGACAGTCACAAACATAGCTTTAACATTCTTTTTGGGAAAGTGTGTCTTGTCTAAGTTTATACTGTCATTTCTCTCCAAAAGCTAATGATATCTTAAGTTAGAACGTCATGCCAAGAGAAGTATATTATCAACCAAAAAAGCAAAATCAACATGATTCTAAATGAACTGCTTCTGCATATCAGTAGTCTTGATGTACTTGAGAGGATGAGGTACAGAGTATGTTGTTAAACTTTTTATAATTACAAATATTGCTTGCATTTCTTTTGAAATTTGCCACATGCTGATATTAAAAATAATAGATGGAAAATCAAGAGAGAAACTTGTAGCTCTAATTTATTTTGTTGTTTGGATAATCAAGATTATAGGATAGACAGACTAATAATTTTCTGCTTTTAAAGGAAAAGTATTTCTCTTTGAGTCTCTTTCACTTTATAAACCATGGATGAAACAAGTTCAGAAGATTGAAAGGGATATTTC